GGATGTGAGGGCCCGGGATCCAGGAGCTCCTCCCCAGGGCTCCCGAGAGATCTCTTTGCAACCAGGAGTCCCACCACTAGATCCCTGTGAATCCGACCCCTTGGGGGTCCCCAAACCCAGCCCATTAGATATACAAGCAGCCAGCCGCACAGCTCCCAGACTCCAAATTTCAGCCCCTCAAGGAAGTCACACGACCCGGCTCTCTGAGCACCTAATCGTGGATTCTAACTTTAGGCACCCAGAGATTTGGCCCCTTAGTGCCTTTTATCCAACCACCCAGTCTTGGAGGGACCTCAGAGGCCCACCCAAGGGGGTCCTGGTGCTATGGCCATGAAGGAATTCAGTGCCTACACCCCCTGTTCACTGAGGAACCCTTGTGCGGAGCCCCTGGGGCCCCTCAAGGCCCCTGTGCCTGGCCTGGGAGAGACCCAGTATCTACCCCCAGCTCCAAGGGACCCGTGCCCCAGGCTCCAAAGCGCCCTGACCCCAAGATTCCCCAAACCCGAGAGGCTCCTCCTTCCAATGCTGGAGGTGATCCTGCCCACCCCACACCGGCCTCAGGAGCCCAGACTCCCTGTCCTGCGCCCGCACACCGGCGACTGGGGCGGCAGCGTCAGAGGTTCAGGAGTCCGGTGGGTTCCCCGGAGGCGGCAGCGGCTCAGCTGGCAGTGCAAGAACTGCACAGAGGCATTGAAGACCGGGCGCAGACGGAAGCTGAAGCGGGCGGCCCCAGGGCGTGGTGGCGGGAAGGTGACTGAGGAATCGGCAGGGCAGCCCCCTCGCAGTAGCGCCAGGGTGGGTCCTGGGGCCGGACGTGAGGAGGGCGTCACCCAGCAGCGGTGCAGGGCCAGGCTCCAGCGCGGGGAGGACGGGGCCAGGGCCGCCTGGGGGTGGAGTGTCGCCTTCAGGATCCAGCTGCGCCCACCTGCCCACCGGCCCGGCTTGCCCCACATCTGTCCGCACCTGCACGAACACGCGGCTGTCCGCTGGGACCTCGAGCGGCCCTGCGCGACGGTGGAACGTGTCCTGTGCGTCTGACAGCTCTAGACTGAAAAGGGGTCGACGCAGCCACAACCCGGGCGCCACTGGAAAGGGGGGCGCTGGCGGGGCAGAAAGAGTGGCACAGAGGGAGTGCGGGCTGCCCCTTAGGCCCTCAAGCAAATGATTCAATCTCCTAGCCTCCTCGGGGAAAATGTTGCGTGGAGAATTCACTCACGCTAGGCTCCTCGTTCAGGCAGGTGGGACACCAGCTATGATGTATTCCCTGGAGACCCTTGGGGCATCACAGCCCAGCAGCGAGGCTGTGCACAAAGCTGGTTGAGGGGCTCCCCTTCCTGGCTTTGCTTTCCTTCCCCACAGTGCGCGAGGGAATTCCAGGCTGGGAAGGGGCTGAGGAGCCCACGAGCTGCAGCAGGGCCAGGAGTGTGGGGCCCCCACCCTTCCCTTTCTAAGAGGAGACAGGTGCTGTCATCAAAGGAAGGGGGGAAAGCAAAGAGGGGTGCTCTTCCACAGCCCTTTTGGCACAGCCCAAGCCCAGCCAGGCCACCAGACTTTCCGTTTGTCCAGACTCCTGACTCTCAGGTTGAGGGCATCGCAGTAAAGGTAGAGGCACCAGGAACACCAACAGGGGTCTTCTAATCAGTGAGGACATGCACATGCAGTGCATACATGTCTGCTTCATGATGGCCCACATACACATTCCCTAAAAGTATCTGCCCAGACCCCTCCCCTCCCACAGTACTTGGCCTCACGTGGCTGCTGGGAACTTTGAAGTTGGGGATCCCAGAGAACCTGGAAATGGGGGACAGGGGTAGACCCCACTGCCCACCCACACATTTCCCAAGGCAAGATAGATGGAGGTTCAGAAAGGGTGGCGGAGGAATGGGAGCATGAAGGCATATATATTTCCCAATCCCTACATACCAGGTGGCCCGCTGGGCAAGGTGGAGATCCCTGGGAGCAAGGCCAGCAGTAGGACCATGGTACCCAGCATGCTGGACTGGCTGCGGTAAGTGTGTGGGGGCCAGAGGCAGAGGCACCAGTCCAGGCAGCACCCAGGCCCAGAAGGTAAACAGGTGTCCCTGTCCTTGGCTGGGCAGCCACTCCGGGAAGCAAAGAGCGGGGGTGGCAGACTGAGGGGCTGACACCAGAGCCCTTCCCCAAGGCCTGCCAGGGATTAAGAGCTCTTCTCCAGCAGGACCTCTGGCTATTGGGGGTCGGGTGTCCCTCCATACTGCCTGCTTGATGTTGGGCAAATCACTACAAAGACCACCCTCCCAGCCACAACCCTGCCTCAGTTTCCCTTTTGATGCAGAGACCTTATCCACCAGAATTCACCACTTCCCAGCCCTTCAACCTCAAGGTCAGGGCTTACAGACCCTTCCCACATCTCATGCCATATCCTGCCAAGGCTCAGGTCACACCACAGACTCAGTGGAAGAAAAGGGAGGGGTTTTATTCTCAAGCATCTAAGGATTTACAAACAAGGGTGTTTCATTTTAAAAAGGGAAGGGACAATACTGGTGGCCTGAGAAGGGGTCATGGGCTGGTGGGCTGGGCCAAGTCGCCCCAGGCTCCTGCCTGCCCGCTCAGCCCTCTGCCTGGTCCAGAAGGACGGCTGGTGACTGGAGATAGAGGGAGGAAACAAGGGAGAGGCGGGTGGGGGGAGGAGAGGCTCCCTCAGGGCTCCCACTTAACACTGAAGGGGAGGGACAGGCAGACACACACTCATAAACAAAATTAAGTTAAATAAAATAAACCGGGCAGCCGGCCTCTGACCTTTACTGGCCCTGGAACGAGCCACTTGACCTTCTGGTTATGGGCAAAGCCCCCTTGGCTGGGACCCCCCCAAGGGTGGAGCCAGGCCTGTTGCCCACCTACCTCTACCTTGCCCCATCCAGTCACAAGGGGGATTTGGGCAAGAAAGGTGGCCACCCCAACCCCCTGGGGGGAGCAGAGAGAAGACAAGGAGTACTTTTTAAACATGCGGCCTTTTGTGACTATGTTAAGAGTAACAAGAGTCAATAGGATAGAGAGAGGTTACAGTGATGCCTATGCTGAGTCTACATTGCTCCAGCTACATCCAGGGAGTTCATCACCTTTGGCGTTGGTTGGTGTGTGTATGTTTGTCCACTGATTTGCATGCATCACCAACAAAAAAGGAAACACCCCCCTTCCTGCTCTGACTGCTGCTGAGGGGTGTGGGGGGGAGAGGGGCCCCATGGCCTATCCTCAAGGTGGGCTGGGGACTGGCCAGCTCTGGGGAAGTTGAGGGATGCTCAGGGGCACTGTGAGGGCATGACTGCCTTCACACCCCCAGCCCTAGGCCTGTTCCACTTCTGTCCCTGTCACACATCCTCGAACCCCCACATCCATTCCCTATACACTCAATCCCTGCCTCCCTGGGCCTTGTGACCCCCACTACTGTCATTCACTCCCTTCTCCTGCCATAGCAGCATTTACTGCCTCCCACCATGCCCCATACCCACCTTCCCTGAAGGCCACCCTGTGTGGCCACAGCCCTGTGGGCTCCTCCACACAGCCTGGGGTCCTCAATTCACCCCAAGCTGTGGCCAGTCTCCAGCCCCAAGGGAGGAGCCCCACCCCCAGCCCCCACCTTTGGGAATAGTCTCTCCAGAACAGGCTGACAAGGCACAGTGGCCCAGGCCTCTACCTGGCTCCAACCCCCCAATGCCCACAGGAGGTTGAGGGCTATACCACAGCAGCTAAACATGACTTTGGTAAAAGTTTCTGAAGGTACTGACAAACCCCATGAGAACAAGCTCTTCTTCCTCCCCCATCCCCCAAACACCCCACCAAGTACAATAAAATACAATAAATTCCAAAAAGGACCCCCTGAGATCAAAGAGAGAGAGAGAGAGAGAGAGAGAGAGAGAGAGAGAGAGAGAGAGAAAGAGAGCCGCGCGCACAAGCGCCAGAGCCCCCACAGCCTGGGTCAGCTGCAGTCATAATGCCCAGCCTGCCTTCCTGGGACAAGGATGCCAACCAAAGGACTCACTGCTCACCACAGACCTAAGTGGACCGAGGAGTCCTGCTGTGGGTAACAGAGCCCGGGCTTGGGCCAGGAGAGAGGCAGATACAGGAAGGGAGACAGGGAAAACCAGAGAGGCATCAAGGGAGGTGACAGAGGCAGACAGAGACAGGGAGCATGTGTACCACAAAGGTGGAAGGGACAGCATGGGGAGGATGCAAGAAGGGTGACTCTCTCCTGGCCCCTGGTGGCCACCCCAGCCCAGGGGTTACAACTGAATAAATAGCAAGTCTGCTCATGGCCTGCTGCTGTCTTCTGTTCACAGTGTCTGTTGGGGGGACTTGTACAGCCGGCTGACCCCAGGACTGGAAGGGCTAGGGCCTGGTGGGCCCATCTGTCCATGGCTGCTGGGTAGGGAGTCGGGGTTGGGTTGGCATCCCCTACTTTCTGTCCTCAGCCCTCGGCGGCCATCCAGTTCCCAGGTCTCCCGTGGCGGGCAGCTGGGTGGCTGGGTAGGGAAGAGGGGACCTGTGGCCACTTCTCTGGCCCCCCCCCCGAGTGGGGCTGGCCACCGCCACGCAGCTACCTGAAGAAGGGCAGGTGGTGTTGGCTTACGACTCCACTAGTCCTCGGTGACTCGGTCTTCGCCATGACATCCTTGAACCAGGACGCCACGTCCACCTCCAGCGTCTCGTAACGCTTAATGAAGCTGTGTTCCTGCAGGGCCGGAAGGGGGAGCTTAGAACAAGGGCAGCTGCTGGCCTCACCCAGGCCCTGGGTGTCCAGATGAGTAGGCGGTAGGGTGTGAGGGTGGGGAGGGCCTCAGGTACTCACAAGTAGCTTATTATACTTTGGTCTCTTCCTGTGATCTTTAGTAAGGCTGGAGAAAGAAGGGAGGAAAGGGAAGTGAGAGCCTGGAGGGGCTCCGCTGGTCTACCTGCTGAGCCAGCGGTCTGCAAAACCTGTGGGGAAGAGCTACTGCATCTTCCCTGCCCTGTGTCCCAACTGGGATACCTCAGAGGAACCAAGGCCTGCACCCACATAGGACAGGGGCCTGAACCATGTTGTAAGGTGCCAGTAGGAGGGGTTTTCCTGAGGGAGAATCCAATATAAACATCCTGCCTGCATAATTCTGCTTGTTGGTGCAGGATGCTCACAGCCCTCTCCCCTCTGCTTGTTTAAAACTTCCTGAGGTGAAGCCCCAGGCCACCCAGCCAAATGCCCTGGGGCCAGCTGTCACCTCAGGCCAAGTCCAAACCCAAGTCATGGCTCCAAGGCTCTGACTCCTCCCTGAGCCCCTTCTGACCCACAGCTGTGCCACCCCCATGAGGGCAGGCTTTCCATCCTCCCACCCCAAACATCCCTGGCTGCCTTGAGCTTGGGGCCACACCTGATCTGCCCCCCTCCTGGAAGGCCTGGGTAGGGGCTCCTCACCAGTCTTTGACGAATGACTGAAAGTCCCCCGAGAAGCCCATGTGACTGGGCAGGAGCGGGGGCTCTTCCTGCAGGACCTTGGTGAGGACCTCGAAGTCCGTCTTACAGTTCTTGTAGGGAAACTGTCCTGTTGCCAGTTCCACCTGAGAAGACATGGGCTGGAGTGGTCGAAAACAGACTCCTGCCCTCCCTGCTGTCCTCCCATACCCCAGAAATGGGTCACCCCAGCCCTCAGGAGGAGGGGCCCCAACTCACCAGAGAGATACCCAGGCTCCACACGTCAGCCCGGATGTCATAGTCTGGCTTTGTGGGGTCCGGGGGGTCAATGCGCTCAGGCTGTAGGGAAGAGGTGGGGGAAGAGTAGACAGGGAAAGGGGAGAATGGACCCTTGTGGCTGGAGCAGGCTCACTGCCCAGGCCACCCGGGCCCCCACTTACTGCCATGTAGGCAGCGCAGCCAGCGCTCCGTGTTTTGGCCTTGGAGTCGACAAGGCGGCCACTGATGCCGAAGTCGCAGAGCTTGATCTGGCCCCGCTCATCCAGCAGGATGTTGGAGGGTTTGACGTCCCGGTGGATCACACCATGCTTCTCCTTCAGGTAGTAGAGTGCCTTCACAATCTGCGAGGAAAGAGGAGCACTGTGACTGGCGCGGGGGAGATGGGCCTGGGCCTCTTGCCCCAGCCTGGCCACTCACCGCTACCGTCATCTTGCCCAGGATCCGCTCAGGGATGGGACCCTGCATCCGCTTCTTCAGCTTCTCCGCACAGGTGCCCATGAGCTCCATGGCAATGAAGACATCCGTCTGCAAGGGCAGCAGGCATGGCTTGGGGGCGGCCATACCCTCTTGCCCACCCCAATCAGGGAAAGAAAAGAGGGGCTGGGGGGCACACTCAGAGAGCGGCAAGAGAGACTCAAGGGAGTGGGCAGAAAAGAAGGGGCAGTCAGGCTCACATTGGTGATGAAGGTCCCGAAGCACTGCACGATGTAGGGGCAGTCATGACTCTTGAGTACCACATCCAGGTCCATGAGGATCCGCTTATTCTCTTCCTTGTTCCCCGAGCGTCGCATTTGCTGCACAGGACAGTGCGGGGAGGAGAGGAGATCCTTAGCACCAGAGCTGAGAGGCATGGGACACACCTGGGCGGGGTGGGTGCTCACCTTGACAGCAATAACGTGGCCTGTCTTCCGGAAGCGCATCTTCCATACCTGGCCACAAGTGCCACTGCCCATCTCCCCCAAATTCTCCAGGTCATTGATTTCTGCCTGGTAGCGCTGGTGAAGAGAATCAGGACTGAGGATCTGTCCAGCCTCTGCCCTACCATGTAGACCTAGCCCCACTGTGTCCTCCCCCACCGCCCAGGGGCTGGGGGAAGGGTAGTACCTGGCCCCCAATAGTCAGGTAGCCTGTCTGCTTCATGATCTCCTGCAGCTTCTGGTCAATCTCGATACTGGAGGAACAGGGTGAGGGTGTGAGTGGAGGGGGGTCCTGACCAACCTGAGACCACCCCAGCTCCCAACACACAGGGGTTTCCCACATATTTCACCACCTCCTCCCTGGGGCTAGCCCAGCAGCCCTCCAAGCTGACCTCCCAAAGGTCAGTGGCCCCATTCTGAAGGCTCACCTCTCCATGCTTCGGGGTATGAACAAGGTGGATGGGAGCCCCAGCATGTGACGGGGCCGGGCAGGGGGCGTGGGTTGCTGCGGGGAACTCTCAGAAGATGGTGAACGGCTACCGCCATCGTTGGCCAGTGGGAGCTGGAGGGCTGGGAGGAGGGGGGGGGGTGAGAGGCAGGGGCATGGAGAGGGTTGGCATGCAGCTGGTCCCACCTCCAATGCTGGCATCTGGGGGCTAGGGACATTGATTTCCCCTCCCAGGAATCCTCACATAGGCTAGCACAGCCGCCTGACCTGCTGGGTGGGATGAGCTGGCGCCTCACCCTTGGAACCACTTTCAGGGTACCTCTCCCATCTCCCTCCCCTGGAAGGAGATGGAGTGGGCTGGCTGGGAATCGTGGTCCCCAGAGGCCAACGGTTCATCCCCAAGTCAATGCTGTCAGAAAAATGAGTCCTGGAGGCTGATGGCATCCCTCAGACAGGCGTCCTCCCTGGCATGTCCCTTTCCTCCCCACGTCTACCCAGGAAGCAGGCCCAGGGCCACAGCGCCCATGCTCAGGACCATGTTCAGAAGGATTGCCAGCCAGGATCAGCCTGCGCTCTGGTCCTGTGGGCTGCAATGAACTTGGTCTAACAAGAGTGAGGCAGACCATCCTGGGGAGACAATGGGCGAGGGACCCAGGGTTCCCCCACCCCGTGTTCTGTTCCAGAGTAAGGAAAAGCCACCCTCTGGCCAGCAGGCTCATCTGTGAGCCTCCCAGCCTGGCTTGCACAGCTGGGACCAACAGGGACAGTGGCAGGGGCAGGACCCTAGCTGGGCCTGTGTCCTGCTGATGAGGGGTTCTGGCTGGCACAGCCCCTACAGGACTGGTGGGATTTGGAGGGGGTGCTAGGCCAGGCAGGGGTTTGGTTCTTTCCAGCAGCCTGCATGCAGATGGCTTTGAACATGCTGCAGGCAGGCAGGCAGCGGACAGGCAGCGGACAGCCCAGGACAGGCAGGCAGCGTTAGGGGATGGGAGGGCAGGAGACAGATGGGAGCCAAGACCGGAGCCCAGCTACCCAAGAGTTGGGGTGCTGCAGAGACAGGCCAGAGAGGGGCCTGGACAGGAGAGTAGGTTCGCTGAGGGGGTGGGAGCCTCCCCTGGCTGGGTTGGCAACAGGTTGGAGGAGCAGAGGCTGTTGTGGCCCCCGGAAGAGACACACAATCCTCCATTGAACCCTTATACCTGAGAGGCCCTGGCACTCTGAAAGGGGCTCCTTGGCTTGGGAGGGCACTGGCTACAAGCATCCTCCCAGGTTCACCTTCCCATGGGGCCTGCTTCCAGCTGATGTCCCTCCTCTCTCCACACCTCCTACTGCAGCCCACTTTTTCTTCCCACAGTTCTGTGAGCATCTAGTAACCCGGGCCCAGTGACCAATGGATATGTTTGAGTTGCTGGTGTCCGAGCACTTTCCTTGCCCTGTTGCCCCAGGACCCTGCTGTGAGGGAGCCAGAGTGAGGGAACAAGTATGTGACCCTGGCCTGCAGTTCTAGAAGGTGTACCGGTCCTGCTAGGGCCTGGCAGGAATAGAGATAGAGTTCTGGAGACTCCGGAGACATAGTCAAGCCCAGAACCCTCCACTTCCATGCCCCCCATCCTGCCCCAGCTTTGTAGCATCCTTATACCTCTGCTCTGCCATGGCCTGAACCAGGGTCGTTAGCCTTCCCTCTCTGGCTCAACAACCTCGCTTTGTACTCCCCCTGCACATGGAGTCTCCTGAGACAGTGTCAGGTTCTCATCCCCGGAGAAGTATCTGGATCCTTTTTCTGCCCTGCACTGTCAGCTCTCTGCGGGGAGGACCACATCTCTGCCCTCTCCACATTTTTTGGTGCCCCATGGGTCCCCTCCCTCAAATAGACCACTGGGCCTTTGAGCTGCCCCAGAGCCTCAGGAAACAGAGGCTTCCACCAGCCCTGCAAACTGAAGCACAGTAGGATCTGAAGTGGTGGTGGGGAGGGGGGAGATACATAAAGTCCCAGAGTGGTCAGTGAGCTCTGAGGTGGTGATGAGCCATGAAGCAGGTCAGGAGGACAGAGGGAGGTCATGAAATTGAATGAGAGAGAGAGAAAAAGAGAGAGAGAGAGAGAGAGAGAGAGAGAGAGAGAGATATGAATGAATTAGAGAGAATAAGAGACCATGGGGGCATGCGGCTGTCAGGAATCATAGATGTACCAGGCTGTCAGCCAGTGCTCACGCACGCGCGTGTACACACACACACACACAGCATGGCATAAACCCACACACACATGCAGACAAGCAGACAATGCAACAGAGACTCCAACACACACACACACACACACACACACACACACACACGAGGTGGTACACATACAACTGCCTAACCTAGTCCCACTTACCCACAAGGGCCAACAGGACCAGGCCTCCAGCCTGGTCTCTCACACACACCCATACTGGGCCTGTGCTATACACATCCATTCCCAGACCCACTGGCACCTACACTAAGGCCTTGGCAGAGCCATTCTACCTCCATTCAGCTGCTCCCCCCACCTCCCACAAGACTCTGTTTCCAGAAGAAATCATTTTACAGTCTCCCCAAGTGACGGGCAGTTGGAACCATGCACAAGACACCAAAAATAATGGACAGGCCGCCACCCAGGTATAACCTGAGGCTCTCCGTGTATTTTCATTGAGTAAAATAGAAGTGGTTTTGTTTATCATCATGTATCCAGGAACAGAGAAATCCTCCATGACATGGTGGGGCTTGTCATCTATAATCCTGTGCTGGTGGAACTTACTTTTCTGATAATTTTTTTTTAAAAAAATTGTTATTGCCCTAACTGGTTTGGCTCAGTGGATGAAGTGTCAGCCTGCGGACTGAAGGGTCTCGGGTTCGATTCTGGTCAAGGGCATGTACCTTGGTTTCGGGCACATCCCCAGTAGGAGGTGTGCAGGAGGCAGCTGATCGATGTTTCTCTCTCATCGATGTTTCTGACTCTCTATCTCTCTCCCTTCCTCTCTGTAAAAAATCAATAAATTATATTTAAAAAAATCAATAAAATATATTTTAAAAATTGTTATTAGAGAGAAAGGGAGAGGGAGAGGAACATCTACGTGAGAGCACATCGATCAGCTGCCTCCTGCATGCTCCCTACCAGGGATGCAGTCCACAACTCAGGCATGTGCCCTTGACCAGGAATGGAACCAGCAACCTCCTGGTGCATGGGACGATGCCCAACCAGCTGAGCCACACCTGCCAGGGTGAGCATGCTTTGAACTTATAATACAGGTGTGTTTTTTTTTAATTGTTAAAAGAATCCTACCTTTTCCAGAGGCTTTCCTCAACCACCCTGCTGCAGAACCCTCATCCCTACTCTACTCTGCCTTTTCTCCACGGTTCATAGCTTTCTCCTGCTCTCCCTGACTAAGAGTTTGCTCATTGTTCATACTCCACCCCATCTCTAGTGGAGCATCAGCTGCACAAGGAGAGGGACTTGGTCCATTTTATTAACTGCTGTGCTCCTGGAGCCTAGAAGAGACATAGCACACAGGGGCCAAAACATGTTCCCTGAATTGTTGAAGTAGATACATAGGCACAGCTGACCCATTGGTCTCACTTCCTCTCCTTTTCACTGATGCACACACACGTGTGACTCCCTCACAAGTGATATACTTCGTCGGTGAGGGAGCCCAGTTCCTCCTCTAGGGAGTTCAAACCTGCCTCTGAGAGAAAGGGAAGCGGGGGAGGCAGGTGAGAGAACACAGAGGAAGAGGTGGAATGGGTCTGATGTGGATCTCGTGGAGGGAGAAAGACTGAGAATGAGAGAGTTCAAGAAGGGGTGTGCTAGTATGTGTGTGCACACACACACACACGTACACACACACACACACACACACACACACACACACGGCATGGGGGGATGAGGGATGGGATTCTGCAGCTGGGGCAGCAGTTAAGTCAATGGTGCAGATGTCCAAGCAGCGATGATAAAAAGGCTGGTACCTGCTCGTTGGGACGGGGCAGGAGCAGGGCTTAGAGTGATCACAATAACTGGATGGGGAGAAGGAAGAAAAAAAAAACACGACGATAAATCACAACAGAAACAACCGATTTGTCCAAAAGAAAAGAAATCAAATCATAATGAGGAGGAGGGGGAGGTGCAAGGCACCAAACTGCAGAGATGGGTAGAAACTGACAGATGGGCGGACTGGAAGGATGGGATGGAGCTGACACAGACACAGATGCCTAGAGTGAGGCTCCTCAAGGGCCTGCCCGCCTTGGGCCTCGCTGTGCGTCACTCTGCAACTGGGATAGCCACCCCCATAAGGCACCTCAGGCCCCATACCCAACTCTGTCTTGTTCATGCTGAGGGGTCGGGGGGAGGGGACCATGCAGCACTGCAGAGCCCAGCATGGACCCTCCAGTCCTGGCTGGGCTTCCTGCCCCAGGCCAGGAGTGTCTAATGCCAGCATCGCCGCTTCAAGGCTTTCTCTGGGCCCCCAGGAGACCTTCTCATGGAGGAACCCAAGCTGACCCAGGAAGGGAGGGATGGGGAGTGGGCCCTACACAGGGACTGGGGTGGGTTTCAGGCTGTGAAGGTCAGGCTGGGTGAGTAGCGGGTAGTTGGGAGTACCCGGATATAGGGTGTCTTCCTCTTTCTGTCAGGATGATGACATGGGAGCTACATAAGCTACAAGGGTCATATCAGAGAGGATACTAAAGACGACAAGAAAGACACAGAAAGTGTTGTGGGGTGCTGTTCATTAGGTCTGTGTGAAGAGGGAAATCTGATGCCCTCCAGCTGCGAGAGGATTTGAGGAGGGGTTCTGTGGGACATAACAAGACTAAATGTGACCATGGTGATCCCAGGGCAGGTGGGGGTATTAGAGGGACAACTCTTGATTCCAGATGACAAGATGCCAGGAAGGTAGGCACTAAGATGGTGGAATCAGAGGAGAGGTATATGGGTGCTGGGATGCTAGATATTACCACATTGGCCTCAGGTGTCCCCAGGCCACGTCAGTATTGGTGTGTGGGGAAGAAGTCACTGAGCCCAAATGACCAAGTCCTCAGACTGGAGGTTGGGTGTGTTATTTTGGGGGCTAGACACAGACACCAAGATGGTGGTAGTGAAACTGGTCAGAGGAGGATGCAGGGGCCTGGTGTATGTGTACAGTGTGGAAGGGGGCTGCTGAGCCCAATGACAAAGTCCGACTGGGGAGAAGGGATCCCGTCACAGGGAGGGAGTGGGAGAACCATCAGGTCAGAGGAAAAAGGGGGGTTATCTGTGATCAAGTGACCTCAGGTGTCCCCAGGCCAGGTGTGAGTATGTGAGTGGATCACCCCTTGAAGCTGATGACAAGGACCCAGGAGTGGAGTGGGGGTAGGGTTCTCTGAACAGTCACTGAGATGGAGGGAGTGGAACCATCTGGTCAGAAGGGACGAGTGCGAGTTTGCTGGGGACCTGGATGTAGTCACAGTCGCATGGGGTAGAGGAAGCACGGCTCACAGTAGGTGACAGAGGCTCCGCAGATCACGGTGATGGGGGCAGGTCATCCGGTGGGGTAACATCACCTGGAGCCGGGTACCTAGCCTCTCAGGCCCCATAGAGGTGCATTCCCCCAGGCTGGAGGAGGACCGTCCGGGAGCCCGCCAGCCCCTAGGCGCGGGGTCACCGTGACCCGCTCCACGCGAGCAGACAGCTGGCGGAGGCAGTGAGGAGAAGCGAGCGCGCTCCGGAAGAGGAGGCGGGGCCTAGAGACGTGGGCG